CCGCTTCGAGGTGTGCCAGGCGCTGGGCGCGCAGGAGTTCCAGCAGGGGGAGCACTACTGGGAGGTGGACACAGGGCGCAGCAGCGGCTGGGCGGTGGGAGTGGCGTCCTCCCGCCTGGGCCCCAGCGAGAATCTCGGCCGGACTGCGCTGTCCTGGTGCCTGGAGTGGAGCAAGTCCCGCCTGTCCGTCTGGCACCGAAACACGGAGGAGCCCCTTAAACACGGCCAAGTCAGCAAAGTCAGGGTTCACCTTGACATGGGCCAGGGGCTGCTGTCCTTCTACAGCATGGCCGAAGGCGAGACCCTGCTGTTTTCGTACAAGGCCGAGTTCACAGAACCGGTGCGGCCCGCCTTCTGGCTGTTTGGGCTGCAGCAAGGGAACACTCTGAGCTTCGCTGGGCCTTGAGGCCCGAGAGGACGGATCCTGCTCTTGTGTGCTTCCGAGAAAAAAATGTATCAATTTGTGTCAAATACTTTGTTCACCCAGTGGCCCCCTGTGCTCCGCAGAGCACTGGAGTGATCATAGAGCCATGCAGGATTGTTAAGTACGAACATGAAGTATTTTCTCTATCTGTATTTTATTAATATGTTATTTTTAACTTTGTTTTCTGGTTGGGGGGTGATCTATCTTTCATCTCACCCTTCCAGGCAGCTGTAGAGGCAGCCCTGTGAAGGGTCCTGGGGGCAGAGACTGCAGTACCCTCTCGGCCCTGGTGGGGGTGCTGTCTATACAGGTAGGGGTGGAACAGTAATCCTGTTGCTCAGAGGTGCAGCTCACTCTTTGGAGGGGTTCCAGCATCATGAGCTTCATTTGTCTACCCTATAGCTCTCAGGTGCTGAATGTGTCAGGATTCCAGCAGTGCAGTGGTGCCAAGATGGAACATGTCCCAGGACAGCACACGAGTCCATCAAAGAGCACACAGACACGCACACAACACACACAGAAAACATACAGATATGCACAAGACACACGCACACGGGGACAGTTATGACACAAGTTAACAGAGCCAGCTTGTCTTTGGAAGACAGGAGGATGCAGTGAAAGCAAATAAAACTCTTAATGGACACGTCAAAACAGCAAACACCAGAGGTTATTGATGGGTACTGGATCATATTTTATTAAGTGCCATTGGTAAAAGAGAACTCCTTTGTCAAATACATATACAGTACATTTTATAAGTTTGTTAAAAACATTGTGCTGCTCCATGTAGAAGGTATTTTAAGTAAGGGTTTATTCCCTGCTGAAAAGAGAAGAAAGGAAGGACAATGTTTTGGCTGTAGAGCCTTCTTCGGATGTGAGAGTTGTCTTTAAGAACACTGGCAGCACCAAGGTACAAGTAAAATATTTTTAAAAACCCGTGGACTAGCTCTTTTGTGTCCTTTTCACATTTTCACAATTTAAAGAAAGAGGGACCAGCAGGAACTTTAATATTCGCCCAGGCTGTCTAAATGTCTAAATGTTGCCTCAGATTTGAATCTGTTCGGTAAAATATAGTTTTCTCTCACTTCTTAAACTCATTTTCCCTTTAAAAGAATGAGCACAGGCCCGTACAGACGGGAGACAAGTGTGTGAAGGACGCTGGGATAGATTAGGAAGGTCCTGAATCAAGATCTTTTCCTGCCGCCAGACACTTTGATCTGAACCCAAACCAAAGATGTCAGAAGTCCAGATTGGACAACGCACGAGTTTTGTCTACTGACAACTTGATTACTGTACAGTGTTTCCTATAAGATAGCTTCTGAATGTGCAACCCCTCCAACAGACCCCAGTACAATACACAGTTGTGTTGCAACCAGTACTTTAATCATTTAATTCTTAATAATGAATTATTTAATTAATTTAACAACGAAGAAGCAGATCATATCCTGCGATGGAACGGTTTGCACAGCGCTGCTTAAGCTGCTGAAGAGTAAGAACAGCACTGCCTCCTTATAACAGGTAATGGTGGAGGGGATCCCCATTACCTGTAAAGCACTTTGAGTGGAGGGTCCAGAAAAGCGTTAAATAAGTGTAAGAAATTATTATTATTGACAGCAAGTCGGTCAGTAAAAGGCACGGTTGTATTTCTACCATCCAACTGTAGGCGGCGCTCATGGGACATGGGATGTTTGAATCAGATCAGTGAAATATTTGGTCAAATGCTGAAATATTAAAGCACCACGTTTCACAGAGGAATAACCGTATAGACTGCGCTCTCGAAATCCGCTTCTTGTGCCTCCGAAACGAGAACTAACTGAATTGAGAAACGCGTTTTGACAATCAGGCGCTCCTGCGACCAAGCGTGTCCCCCCGCGGCCGCCGTCGACGTCAGGCTGGCGGCGGAGGTCGGCACAAGGAGGCGTGCGGCTCCTGCAGAATGTCATGAAGTAGAAACCTCGTCTCCGGAGACAACACGGGAATACACGGCTTCTCCTGGGGGAAAAAAAAATGTCGCTGGCACCTGACAGCGAGCCGCGCCGCAGCTAAACTGCCCGCCTTCGGGAATCGGCAGCGCCGAGGAGTCCGGGAATTAGTCTCTGTCCGTTTCGTCCTACAGACGCCGACCGGGGCGGGAGGCCCGGCAGAGCGCTGCCCCGCTCGGTGCCGACAGACACAGCGAGCTGCGGGTGAATCGGCAGGAGATTTAAAATAAAAAAAAATGAGGAAAGACGTCCGGATATTGCTTGTGGGGGAACGTGAGTAGCCGGTTGTGCCTCTTTAAAAGGTTTATTTCTGGGCGCTCTGCTGTGCTTGACCCGGCACCGGTCGGTCCATACGCGAAGCTAGATCTTAGATCTGACTTAATCCACCGCCCCCAAAAAAAGTGCTGCGGAAATTGTGACTCCGCCGGGGAAGAAAGGCGACCGCTGTACGAGCGAGCGAACGCGTTTCTGTCTCGGTGGTTCGGGATCCAAATGCTTTTCCCCGCAGCTGAGGGCTCTCTCCTTGGAGAGAGAGATGGGGGGGGCTGGGCTGGCTGTGGCGATCGAGGCTCCGTGGTGCCGCCGGGCATCGGCGGACACGGGACGGCGGGCACGTCACGCGTGGGTCACCCTGCGGCAGCTCGCCTTTCATTGCAAAACGTTTTCAGGCGTCAGGCGTGCGTTTGTATACGCCCGCTAGTGTAATGTTGTGGCTCGGCTCGGCTGGGTGCGACATTTTTAAGGGCTGGCGAGGCCGGGCCCGTGCTTGTCGGTGGTTTACAAAATGTGTGTTTTCTAGAACGAGCTTCGGGTGAAGAGGGCTGCGCACAGGCGGCGAATGGTCTTGGAGCCACTCGGGTCTGCTTCCTGGGACTGGCGTCTTGGGGGTTTTGTTCCAGGAAGAGCAGTCGATTAACATGATTATTTTTAAACATATGTTTTCCAGTTGATGACACGGGGCTTAAATAATTAGAGCAGACCAGTGTCTGAAGCCAGGGTCAGGGCCGGGGAGCTGTGGGCTGCTGCTGTTCTCTCTCTCACTGGGAGACCGCTCTCCCGAGCGTCTTGACATATGCATTTGGAATGACCCCCCCGCACCTCGCACCCAGCAGGGCGCCTTGTCAGTGTGGTCCCACGCGTAGACCTGACTGTGTCTGCAGGGGGGGGGGCGAGGCAGGGTGTCCTGCAGACGGTCAGCTGGACGGACCGCTCACCCCAGTCGGTCCTGCTGCTGGGGCGTCCTGTGCAGTCAGGCTCCCTATTCCGCTCGCACCTCTGAACGTCCTACAATCCTGCTGCCTTCTGGAGGCAGCTGGTCTGCAAGCTCCTTTGTGAGCAGTGTGGCCCGAGCATTACAGGAAACCGCAGCGCCCAGGGAAGTTGTCTTAGATGCAATTCCTGCCAATTTACTAAAGATAGCAAATACGAGGGTTATCTGGGCCCTGTTTGGATGGAGCCTTGTGCACGTGTTCTCCTGCACTGCCAATAGCTGCCCCTCGTCAAAGACAAGTGTACTGAAGAGACCCGGGAGAGTCCTACCCCTCCAGGCCCCGTGTTAGAG